TTTAGTCTGGAGAAGAGGAGGCTGAGGGGAGACCTGATCGCCCTCTACAGCTACCTGAAAGGAGGCTGTAGTGAGGTGGGGGTCGGCCTCTTCTCCCTGGTAACAGATGATAGGACGAGGGGGAATGGTTTGAAGCTGCGCCAGGGCAGGTTTAGGTTAGATATTAGGAAAAACTTCTTCACTGAAAGGGTTGTCAGGCTCTGGAATGGGCTGCCCAGGGAGGTGGTAGAGTCCCCATCCTTGGAGGTATTTAAAAGAAGGATGGATGAGGTGCTTAGGGACATGGTTTAGTGGTGGGATGGCAGGGTTAGGTTAAAGGTTGGACTCGATGATCTTAAAGGTCTTTTCCAACCAAAGCGATTCTATGATTCTATGAGCTATTCCTTCCAGTTTTCTGTATCACCAAACTTGCTGAGGGCGTAGTAGGTCTCATCATTCGAGTCATTAATGAAGATGTTAAACAGTATTCAACCCAGTATTGACCCGTAGGGTACCCAACTAGTGACTAGGCTCCAGCTGGAGTTCACACCAGTGATCACAACCGTCTGATACCAGCAGTTCAGCCAGTTTTCTATAAACTTTACTGTCCACTTATCTAGTCTATACTGGGAGATGGTGCTAAAGCCAAAAGAGAAAACAGCCCCCGTGCACTGGTCTCCCCTTGCCCACTTAGTCATCCATTTCATCACAGAAGGTTATCACCTTGGTCAGGCACAGGCACAGCTGGCACCTCGTAAATCTGTGCTGACTACTGCAAATCACCTTGTCCCTAATATGTTTGGAAACGTTTTTAAGAATTTTCTCTATAACCTTCCCAGGGATCAAGGTGAGGCTGACAAGTCTGTAGTTCCCTGGGTACTCCTTCTCTTTCTCAAAGAAAGGAGTGATACTTGCTTTCTGCCAGTCCTCAGGAACCTCCCCCAATCACCATGATCTTCCGAAGATAGATATAAGTGGTCTTACAATGACATCAGCCAGCTCCCTCAGCACTTTTGCGTCCACCCCATCAGATTCATTGGACTTCTGTGTGTCCATATGTTTAAATATTCTCTAACTTGTTCCTCCTCTACAGATGGTAAATTTTTGTTATTCCAAACTTCCACACTGGTCTCAAGTGCTGTGATTCCTGAGGGCAAATATTAACAGTAAAAACCAAGGCAAAGAAGACATTGAATACTTTGGCCTTTTCTTAGTCCTTTGCCACCAGGTCCCCTGCCCTATTCAGGAGTGGACCCACATTTTCCATAGTCTTCCTTTTGATACTGATGTACTTGCCTTTCCTACTGCTGTTCATGTTCCTTGACATACTCTCTCTGATCTGGGTTTTGGCTTTCCTAAACCTGTCCCTGCATGCTCAGACAGTGGCTCTATATTCCTCCTGGTCACCTGTCCCTGTTTCCACTTCTTGTGCACTTTTTTTTTGTGTTTGAGTTTAGCTGGGACGACCCTGTTCACCATGTGGGCCTTGTGCCACTTTTGATTGATTTCCTGCACATAGGGATGGACCATTCTTAAGGTTGGAGGAGGTGACCCTTGAAAAACAACTAGCTCTCCTGGGCCCATCTTCTATCTAGAACTGCCTCCCATGGGATTCTTCCAAGCATGACCTTAAACATGCCAAAGCCTACTCTCCTGAAGTCCAGGGCTCTGGTCCTGTTGTTTGCCTTGTTGCCTCCTGTTAGGATCCTTGGGGGTTCCCAGTTTGCTAAGCTGCATCTGGTCTACGTGACAGCAGGACCTCAGGACGTCTCATGGGACTGGTCCTTCTATGGCTCACAGAGCAGTAAAGGAACAGCCACTCTTCTGAAACCTCCTCTGCCTATAAATGATGTGAAACAAGACCCAGTGACTGGCCGCCTCACTGTGCTGTCCATATACACCCAGTAATGGATCATTGCCACGCTTCAGACTTTTCATTGCCTCATCTCCTCATCTTCCCTTCTCCTAAGCTGATCTATGAAGTGGCTTCCACCCACTTTTGACATTGCCTTTTACTTCCCTACCTCTGTTTTTCCCAGTTGTTTCCCAAGACTTCTCAATTCATTCCTGGGTTTTATTCCATTCTTTTGGGACAGGGCCCAGATCGTCCAAAATCATCCTTGCTCCACTGAAATCCATATGCAACTTCAGACTAGCATTTCATCCTCCTGTCCTACGTTTGCTTTTCTTTGACTTGATTACTTTTTGAACTGCCTTGTTCATCCTTTTATCGTCCCGGTGCATTTATTAGTACATGGTGCACATAACCCTTTGGGCATGACTTAATATATTACATACCTCTTTTCATTTCTCCTTTGTGTCCTTTCTCTTCATTACTCTGTAACACTCCATGGTAGCCCACGTGCTGACTTTAAATGGCTTGTGTCTTAACCTTGATTTTATTTTTAATGTCTCTTTTATTTCTTTTCTTTTTTTTTTTTTTAAGAGGATAAGCTCAAGGTATTTATAATGATTTTTTTTAATGTATTTCTCACTTTTATTTATAATCACCTGAAAACTGGAAGCAAAGCTCTTTTTCTTTATTAATATATCATTTCTATTGCCTTGTACTGCTGGAGCTGATCTATCTTCAGATTTTAAATACTCTCAGGCTTCAGGGATACTTGGAGCCAGGATTTTTAGTCCAATCAATCTCTGAGTGCGGGGCTCCCTCTGAATGTTACCTGACATTTATTTATTTTTATTAAAGAACGTCTTCTCCCTCAGGATAGGAAACAACAACAACAACAACAACAACAATAGAACACATATACAAAATTACACAGACTTTGCAAAAAGTTATTTTTATAAGGCTGGCCGGATTTGGGCCCATCAGCACTGCCTCTGTCCCTTACTTTGTTCTCCTTGTCTTTCTTAATGATGATATAAAGACACTTAAAGAATATTTCTCTTGGATGGGAATCAAGACTCACTCCTACTGTGAGGTCCAAGCAGACCGATGTCAGTACCTCAGCAGAAACTTGCTCGAAGTCACCTGGCCCCACAGGGGTTCATCCATATCTAGGCCCGTGGAGAAAGCTCTTCTGAAACCTCTGCTCCCCCATTCACTTCCATCTCACTTTTCTCTAGTTTCTCAATAATGTTTTCAGTGGCTCTCTCAACCCCAATGTCTGAGCTTATTAGCTAATGAAAGGGCAGCAGCTGTTTCCAGCGTGTGCCTGTCTCATAAGCAATACGAAGTACCCTTCTTAAATTGTCTTCCAGGCATAAAACCCACCTGGTCATCTTTTATTAATTTCCCCATTGCTTTGTTTAGTCTATTCGTAATTATCTCTGTAAATATTTAATGGTCACAACATTGATCTGTATAGCCATTCTTGCTTTCTTTAATGTCTCAGGGTTGCTGTAGAATACAAGCACTACAGAATCAGTTCAACAAATTATGGCTGGGAAGCCAGCTCCTCAGCTGTGCTCACTTCTACCAGAGAGAAGTTTCTGCTACATTTTGGAGAGGGAAATGTTCCCCTCATCCTCCTTTCCTTCATGCTCATGTGCTTTACATGCAATGTCTTTCTGTCTGCTCACATTCAGTATTCTTAAGTGTATTTGTTATTTGCATGACAGCAGACCTAAAAAAAAAAATGCCTTCCTGTTTTGCCCAACACTACACCAATAGAAACCAGTAAGAAAGGTCCTAACCCCTAGGATGAATACAGAAAAAAAATATAGAAAAATACTGCATTACCTAATTACAGCACTGAAGCAGAGATGCCATTTTCTGTGCTGTTATCCCCCGCTTGGTTTTAACATTCTTCCCTCCTGCCTGTTCTTCAGGTTCTTCTTTCGCAGGACACAAAGCCAATGACACATCTGAGTTTGATTCAAAGTGAACCAGTGAAGGTTTCAGGGCAGGGATTGTCTCTCTCACATGTTGGCATAACAGATTTCAAAAAACCCACTAACCACAAAGTGCGTCCCCATTCTCTGGTAGCCCTCAGCAAAGCTCTGCAAGCATGATTCAGCATTGACTGCTCTCAGCAGCATCAAAAATTCTTTGTGTGTGCATCATTTTCCTTGAATAATTCCTTTTTCTGTAGTGCTGCTTCATTAACTCTCCTAACTGACAAGTTTTACCCTGATCCAAGCTTTCATTTCCACTTTGAAACATCTTGTTAGACAAGCCTCAGATCCTTCTGAGACTGCTCCATAGCTGGTTTTCACCCACTATTAATGAAATGGTCAGAGTTTAACAATCCCTATTTTGGTTGCTAATATCATTGTGTGTACTAGGGGCTGTATCAGCAACTACACAGATGTAATTTTATTCATATCTGCTGTAGGATATGTATAATCTGCAAGCAAAATTGCCCCTTTCTCTCCTCCTTCCTTCTTTTAGTATTTGCAGTAAAGAAATTCAAAGAGTTTGCTGGCTTTATTGCAAGACCCTCTTCCTAGATTGTCCTTTTTTCTTGCTTGTGCTCTCCCTTGAGGGCTGGTAGCATTGCAGGAAGCTACAAGATGTCTCTTTCTTTTCTGCTCATCTTTGAAACATTCTGCAGAGACTGTGATGGTATTGTAGTGTTTTTTTCTTTTCCTGAGCGTCCTCCCAAGTGAGGGCATTTCAACCCTGAGCGCCTAAATGAACCACTCTCAGAAATTCACCTTTCAGCATACCGTCCTGGGCCCTAAAGGCAAGACTTGGCCCACCGTGGCTGTAGGTGGGTTTTGTGGAAAGCTGTGTGTTCTAGAAGATCTGACCTGCCTCATTGGCATGACACACTGGAAGACCTCATAAGGAATCCACAATGAGGACAGTCTTGTAAAGCCTATGCAGGGTCTTTTTTCTCAACCAACATGGAAACCAGCTAAGCATGTTTGTTTTGAGCAATGAAAACAAAGCTACACACTGTACACTATGGAGTTGATCCTGAAATCTCTTCAGAAGAGGCGCCAAAGCTTCAGTTATAAAGCAGATAATGCCTCAGTGGCTTGAAGAAGATTCAAAGTTTGCTTTAGCAGGCACACTGAAGTGGAGGTGTCTGGCTGGAAAGGTATTGTAGTTTGTGTAGCTCTTCATATACCCCAACAATCTCCAAGCACTGTAAAGTTTTCTAAGAAGACCCTTGCATTCAGAACACTTAGAAGAATCAAAAAGCTTCTTCAACATACAGTCAAGAAACCACAATGAAGTACTATGGCCATCAGGTTTTAACAGATAGGTATCAAAATTTTAGACCTAAAAATCTATTCTCTAAAAAGACCCAACTTTTTCACCCCTAAATTGGGAAATGTTGTTATTAAAGCAATGGCAAGACATAAATACACAGATTTGTTTTGGTCTTCTTTCCAAGGATTTAATATTCTGGTCTTACCTCTTGTCTAAGGAACTATCATTGCTGGAATGAAGCTTGGATGACCAGACCTGATCTTCCTGTTGGTTTTGGAGGATGGCAGGTTGTTGATGGGACACCCCAAGAAACCAGTGATGGTAACATTGCTTGAAGTCCTCCTTAGGTCTCTTTCCAGCACTTGTGGCAAACAATGAACTGATGATAGTTGAGCCAGTGGCACCATAAGCCTGGTGACAACTTTCTGCACCAGATAACCATTCTCACTTGTGCTCAGGGCCTTCTCCTGATTTGTTTTGAGCTCTAAAAGAAACCTGTCCTTATTACAACATGGCTCATGCATGTGCACAAAATCCTGCATGAGAAGGGCCCTGCTTGGTACAGAAGAGATGGTAGTCCTGTTGCCAAAAGATGGCTTCTAAAATTTTGAGAGCCTATACAGAAGCCTGACCAAATTAATTCTCCTTCATTTTATGTCTGCAGCCCTGACTAAATTTCCTGAGCAGGCAGTAGGCGGGAGAGAAAAAGTGAAAAGCCACTGTTATTTCTTCCCAGTCCTCCATTTTCCACTTCTTAGAAGACATTCTTAGCAAATTTGCAGCGAGATCTTTCTCAGTCTGTTGTATAACTGAGCCCTTCCAAAGTTATCTGCTTTAACCAAAACCAGCTGTGGTTTCAAGCGCTTGAGACACACTGGACCTCATGGTGCCATTAAGGGACTGAACCATTAGGTTGCTTCAGACTTGAGTCTGTGTTTTTTAGAGGGCTGATAACAGAAACTAAGCTTTTCACTTCTTGGTCAGGAGTTCTTGTAAACTATTAGAAGAGTTCACCAAACCCCAAGAATTCTTTTTCTCTGAGAAAATATAAAATTTTGACATGCCTTTTAATTCATTTAATCTCTCACTTTATCTCTCTTCTCCCAATAGGTATGTACAGGTGTGGTCCAGCCTCAGTTCAAGCCGTTAAACATGGTCATGTTTGCTTCCAATTTGATGCTCCTTTTGTCTATGCTGAGGTACATACCTGAAAGTTTTTAGTGCATTGAGTGATACCAGTGGGGCCATAGGTGAGACAGAAAATAGGGCTCCACTATACTATATGGATTGAGAAGTTACTTTACATATACTCCACATCAAAGAAAAATCTCATAATTATATTTTGACATGCAGGCCAGCAGGTGTGATGTGGCTCTAATGAATGACAGAGATTTCTCTAATCTCTGTTCACCAATGTAATAAGCAGAAAAAGCTACTCTGGCTCCGGCAAAACTTCAGGCTGTGGTCATTTATCCTTCCAGATTCCAGCTATGCTGGCAAATGAGTCACTAGCTCTAGCTTCTCATCTTCATCCCTTGTTATACGTTACCTCATCCTTAGGATTGCCAGCAAAGCTGCTTATGTTAAAGCTCCCTTCCTTGTTTCAGTCAAGATGGACACAGTGATTTTAAAGAGGTCTTTGCTCACCATGTTCATTTTGGCTGCAGTGGGTTGAGAGCTCACATGGGTGATTTGACTGGCAGACCTGAGAGGGAAATATCTCCATGGGGGGCGAGAGGGCCTGGTCTGGAGTTTTAACCTCTTGCAGCACCAGAGCTGGTGTGCCCAGAATTGCAGCAGCTGTAGAGCAAGTCTCTCTCGTATTGTATATAACTTAGGACAGAAGAAAATAAAGATATTTTATCTATGAAGCATTCTCCTCTCTATGGTCTAAAATTTTTGGTGCAAGGAATGTGTAACCATGCTCCCCAAGTCCAAAGGGTATCTCTGTAGCCTGCTCAAATTTACACTGTTTGTTGTTCTGGAGCTGCAAACAGTAAAATTAACCTAGTTAGCATATGACTAATTTTAAACATGGGACTTCAATGTGAGTGGGACTTCAAGTCAATGTGTCATTGTTTTGAGGGAAGATAGGCTGGCTTCCCTTCCTCTCTCTACTTCCATGTATCTCAATCCTTTCTCATTTAATTTCATAGGTGAATAGTGATGTTGTTTACTCAAGAAGGGATAAAAATGGAACCCAAGTGATAGAAAAAATTGACACAACGCATATTGGCCAGTTGATTGTGACGAAGGAAATTGGGGGTGATGGAATGATGGAGATTACTGAGGAGTACAAGTTCCAAGAAGGTAATCTGCAATGGGGCAGGACCATACTGGTGTAGATTTACCTTAATCAGATCTTGGATGGTGGATTTGCAGACCTCTGGCACTGAAGGAGCTGCACGAAAAGCTGCCAAGATGGCCTCTGGAACTCTTTATTTTTAACTCCATCCCAGAAACACTGCAGATGCCTTGAACAGCACAATCTTTGCAACTCAGAAGTGCTTTGGACTGAGTAAGCTGTAGTGAAAATGAAGGGTAGTAATGAAGTAACTCAAAGCATTCAAAGCAATTCAAGGCTTTCTGTGCAGCTGTTTAGACATTTCTTACTCTGGCCAGATGTTTTCACAGAGTAAATCAGTGTAGTTCTATTAGTATCCATTAAGCTAGGTCAATTTATCTGATATGGTTTGAATCTTTAAGACCATCTCACTTGGAATTTGTGAAGTTCTAATATTAACTTCACCACAGAAAGGTTCACTGTCCTTAACCATTCATTTCAGCTACCACAAACTATGGACGATGCACCCTTGTGATTGGTGAGTAGGCTAATGTAGTATGCCTGTTTCTCTTCTAAATTTGATTTCCATTCATTTCTAGGCTCAGAGGAGGAGAGGCTGGCTCTCGAGACTGCTGTGATGTATGGCGTTAAAAAGCAAACTACCCAAGATAGCGTGTATCAGCCACAGACGGACGTTGACATGGATTTCCAAGTGCAAAAAGCAGTCCTTGGCAGTGACTTTAAAGTCACGATAACTTTCAGGAATAAAAGTCACAACTACTACACTGCTACTACATACCTTTCAGGCAACAT